AACTTATCAAGAATGGTCGAGACAGATGCATTCAAAGGGGTATACTGATTTCTGTCACGATCGCATGAGGAACTAGAGCATAAGACTTCTTGGGCTCAAACTATTGTTTCTTTCCTTTTCGCTGATCAATGTTAGCCCATCGACGATCAGCCCTCCTATTTTCCCCCCGACCTGGCGCACTGCCAGAAGTGTCGGGGTCGTAGCGGTAGAGCGTCACCACGAAGTTCTCACTATGGAGGTATTTCTCTGTAAGGCTGTAAAAGCGGGTGAGAGAAACATCGTCCTCTAATTGCAGCTCCTTCCACATATCTGTCTGTGGCCGAACTCCTACTATGATGAGAGTCCGAACGGACTCTTCGGGAGTGTGAGCTACTTTATGGAGCTCTCTGTGGAACCCATAGATGTAAGATTGGAGGGATTCATCCCTCTCTTGCCTTATGTTGCTGAGGTAGCTCAAAGGCATTGAGAACTTCATGTTCGCTTGGAAGTGTCTCAAGAATGTCAAGCTCATCTGATTCCACGAGTTGATTGATCCCGTCGGGAGCGACCTGAACCACCACTTGACATGAGATGTAAGAGTTACTGCCAAGCATCGGCATTTTGCCAAATCAAAAACTTGGTGAAGTTCCATCAGGTCGTTAAATTCGTATAAATGATCCTGCGGATTAGAATTTTCATCGAACGCTTGCATATCGGGCATTCTGAATCTGGATGGGAGAGGGGCGACTAACACAACCGGAGAAAAAGGAGACGCCTCTACAACCTGCCCTCACTCATTTTGCTGAGCTTTTAGCTGATCCAGAGCTCGCTGTAGCTCTTCAATCTGAGGCAGCGGAGCCATCTTGGGATTGCTTTCTCTCATGCGGATTCCTTCTCGCCTCGGCTGGCAGTTCCGATCGCTCTTGACACACGTTAGGTAGAGTCATGTGATGGGGATGAATAGTCCGAGGAACCTTCCCAACCTCTACGGTGGTGCGAACCGACCCACAGATGGTAGGAACTTCTCGCGTGACGACTATCGGGGTTGTCATTTTGGCGATATGGGAATCTCCCCGCCTTGCACTTTTGTGGGAGTGCTCGCGCGATGTGGTATGGGACAGCTCAGGCCGCGACCTATCACCGAGTATGCATGCCACGGGTATTCTACTCGGGGTATGGTTGGTGTTCGTTGGTCCCTCGGAGCCTCTAGGCCCATTGTTCGCCACCTGTTTTCCCTTCCTTTGACGCCCTGCAGTGCAGCGGCATAGGCTATTGCCTTTTTTCGCGCTTTCATGCGACCTGCAGGCGTTTTAGCCACCGCCTCATTTGATTCGGGTGGTGCAACCCGATCCAAACGATTCAACCTTTGGTTGACCGTTTAGAGAGTATTGTTGAACCTCTCCAAGTAACTCATGACGGCTGGATCAAGCCGTGAGCTTAAAGGAATATCCCCCACGAGATTTTGCGAAACTGGGGGCACTTCGAAAGAAGTGTCCTCTTGCACCTAAGGGATTTCTTCCTCGCCATGGTTGGATCGCTCAGATTCGAATCTGCGAGCCATTTGTTGTTGTAGGACTGATTAGTTAGAGATTCTCCTGATGAAGGACGAATACTAAATCAGGCCCTCCTTCTAGTGTCAAACTATTGATTCGTGTGTGAGTTTGACACCAACTAAACGCACGTGGGAAATGTTGAGCTAGCTCAGAAGACAGATGTGTATGGGGGTATTGAACTGAATAGAAGAAGAAGAACAATGTTTAAAGTGGTTCGGATGCTTAAGTAAGAGAATCCTACGTCCACTGGTATCATATTAATATATTTGAGATCAGGTCGAGTTTAGCGAGCTGATTTACCAGAGGTTGCAAGAGAGAGAGAGAGAGAGAGAGAGAGAACATATATGCTATTCTAGAGAGAAATTAGCTAATCTCATAAACGGGAGAGGATCACTTTATTCATAGTACGATGAATTGAGGTAATGATTACTAAATCAGGGAGTATGTTAGATTGTTATGCAAATCTTTTAGGGATTGGACACGTGGATCGCCTCTAGCCTTTCACCAGCCTGACGTCCACCTACTGCACTGGCAAAAGCATGTTGCTTGCATCAGTGTGCGACGTGACTGCGTCTGAATGGTTGTTGGACTTACCTAAGCTCTGACCACTTACGTTGACAGAGCTCTGCGTCAGCCATACTTTTCCAGGCATAACAAAAGTAATTTATGAAAATGTTATAAAAAATAATTAATTTGTTTAAAAGCATATTATAGTTTTTGTTTTTTTTATTCATTCATACTAATCAAGTAATACACTAAGTTTGTAAATATACCGTCAAAGATACAATAAATCATTATTTTGTTTGTACAGGACATGGACGGACGAAAGTAAAATGAAAACACTTGAATGTATTTGTTATCCACTGATAAAATAAATGAATAATCTTGAATACGATAAAGCATTACCATTGTTCATTTCAGAGTTGTTCCAGTTGCTCTTGACAAACCTGGTATATAAAAAAAGTAAATTTAACGATCATTATTTGCAAATCCTATTACAGCATCTCCAAATGACTTTTTATATGATCCAAACTCTTTATTATAAAGAGTTTATCCATAAAAATAAAAGTTCAACTCTATCCTAATTTTAAATAATAAAATACAAGTTTCTATGCATTTTATTTATGATTTATCTAAATTTTACTCTCTCCTAAAATTTAAAGAGTCTATTGGATTTAAATAAAAAAATTGTTCTTTATATTTAAAAATCAATAAAGATGTTCTTTAAAATAAAGAGCAGGAGAGCATCTCCAAATAACTCTTTATATGACTTAAACTCTTTATTATAAAGAGTCTATCCATACAAACAAAAGTCAAATAGACTCTTTATTCTTTAAATATAAATTAAAGAGTGAGTTTGACTCTCCACATTTAGAGAGTCAAATTTCACTCGCTATCTTAATTTTAAATAATGAATTGTAAAGTTTCCATGTATTTTATTTATGATTTATCTCTTCTATTGAGTTTATTTCTTAAAAAAACATATTCTCTCTCCTAAAATTTAAAAAGTCTATTGGATTTGAATAAAAATTTTGTTCTTTATATTTAAAAATCAATAAAGATGATCTTTATTTATATGAAAGAAGCTATTTAAAATAAAGAGCACCATTAATTCCCTATGTATTACCTGTAAAAGGTGTTAAATCTTAGAGATTGGTAATAGGCAATATTCACAAGGTTAGATTTATTATGATGGCTTTTAGGAAGAAATCATATTTATGGATAAATGTTTTGGGAGAGTTGAGGTGGGCTTCGTTTTTATAGTTCTGAATTCGACTTGAAGAAGCTGAGACCCATGATTCTTAAGAGAATTGAAAATCGCGCCAAAGGACTATCCGGTTGGAGGCATGGTCCTTGTTGCAGTGGAAGTTCTTAATGCCAGAGCTTTAATGATTCAAGGCATCTCCACCTTTATGAAACTTGTTCCTGTTCAGGCTTGCAAGTAAGCTTAAGCCTATCTAACAAACACCTCTTGGTGTTATGTCATGCATTGCGATAATCTCAATGTTTTTAAGGATGTGGGACCATGATTGTTTTGTTTAAATATAAGAATATTATTGTCCAAAAATTTAATTAAACAAAAGTAAAATTGAAAGGATATATTAATGTAAATTTATTTTAAAATAGGGACATTATTATCAAAAAAATTTATTAATAAGAAATAGAATTGTAACAAAAAGAAGATTATTTTGGTAATCTTATATTACTTGATTACCTTGTTACTTGACAACCAAACAAAGTAATCAAATAATATAAGATGACATAACTCTAATAATCTTTCATTACCTTCAATCAAACGCTTCTTTTAGGTTTACACTATCTTTCGATTTTGCTTCTCTTTTATTTATTTATTTTTTACTTTTTACTTTTTGTTTTGGGTTTTGTTGTTTCGGCGTAATTTATATGTTTTTTATTCTAAAACACAATCTTATATAAATTTAATGAAATGGATTTGCATCAATTCTTGAATTTATTTATTTTTCTGTTTATGAACTCAAATGAACGAACTTTTCTCTGTTTTCAAATTTGCTCACTTTTAAATTAAACTCAGCTATCTTTAATTAGGTTAATTTAATTATGTACAACCCTGCTGAATCTATTGAAAATTGAACTCACAAAATGGGTCTCAGGATGATTTTGAGTTGGGTGACAGTCTTAGAGTTGAGCCACCTTTACCTTTAACATGGTCCAGTCAGTTCTTCAATTTAACTCCTAACATGTCCAATCAGTTCTTCAATTTAACTCCTACAATGGGTTGAATATATATATAATATACCGAGGTATCCGGGTCAACTTATGCATTTCTTAACTAATCTGGGTTCGTTAAATATTTTTTGTGATTAAATATCTGATTGTTTGTCGGCTTAGTTGGGATTATTTAGACTGTTGAGGGTAGACGTGGGTATCTGATTTGAAACTGTGTACTAGTGTTGTATAATTTGTGACATATTGAATGCGTGATTTTATTTCGGCTTATTTGGGATTATTAGACAGTTGTTTGTAGGCTGTCAATTTTAAACCAGCATTTAAATGAAACAAAAATTTCTATTTTCTCAAAGATTGAAGAGTATGGCATGCAACATTTCAATCAAACCTACTAAAGTATATAATCACCATTAAAAATTTTAGAAAACAAATGATGCCACTGAAACATTTAGGTCTAAACATGCACTGTAAAAGGACTGCAGTATCCACTAATTAAGTTAAACACAGTGAGGCAAGTAGGTCTTAGACAAGCTCCATAAAAGAAAATTAATCTTTACATGATAAAGATCTAGCTAGCATGCTTTGAGTAAAACCTTTGATAAACCAGCATTTAAATGAAACAAAATTATAAGAAAAGAAGATAACAAAATTAAACCAAAGAAGATTCATATCTATTAAAAGATGATCTAGGATTACCATTTACTAAGAGTTTAAATATAAAAAATATGTCAAATATGCTTACATGCAGCTTGTAAAAACAAATCATGTCTTTTGTAGCTTCCCTTCTTCACAAAACCCATGGATGAAGATTGAATATGTCACAACATCTGGCAGGCCTTTTTGAGGCAATTTGTGAAATATATCCAAAGCAATTTCAATCATTCCATTTTTACACAACCCATCAATGAGGCTGTCAATTTTAAACTTGTAGTTCTCCGAGTAAAAAACAATTTTGCTACTTCCAGAACACTGCCATTCTTGCATATCCCATCAACCAAAATCATTTCCTTGCAAAGACTCATAGCATTCTCTGATTCCCAAACCTCTTTGGATCATCAATTCCAACAACCAATCAGCTTCCTCTATCTTCCCCTCCTTGCAAAACCCACTTATCATTGTATTATACGTCAGTAAATTAGGCTGCAAACCTTGATCTGCCATCTCAACAAACAAGCCTTTAGCCTCCTCCAAATTTCCCACAAAACACCAACCATAAATTAGAGAGTTAAAAACAACTACATCTGGCTTAATTCTCTTCCCCTTCATTTCCAAAAACAATTCTTTTGCCTTATCAACCAACCCATCTTTGCAAAGACCATCTATAATACTACCATAAGAAACAATATCAGGCTTACAGATAACACCCCCTTCACCATTACCAGCAACCATTTCTTCATGCAATCTAAGCGCAACACTAGTGTTCCCTGTCTGACACAACCCCTTAATCAATGTCCAATATGTAATCGCGTTAGGCCTGACCCCAAACACAGCCATTTTCTTGAACAACTCCATAGCCTCCAAACTCCTTTTCTCTAAACACAAAACTTTAATCAAAGAAGTGAAAGTCACAACATCTGGTCTTAAACCCCGCCTCAAAATCAGCCCAAAAACAACAAAACCATAAGGCTTACAACCCTTACTCTCCATAGAGATTAGCAGCTCCTTTGCATCATTAAATCTATGCAGCAAGCAATAACCATCCATCAAAGTGTTATAAGTAACTATGTTTGGTTGCAAACCTCTTTGAATCATTAATTCTAAAAATCCATTAGCTTCCTCCATCTTCCCCTCCTTGCAAAGCCCACTTATCATTATATTATACGTCACCACGTTAGGCTGAAAACCTCTTTGAATCATTAATTCCAAATACCCATTAGCTTCTTCCATCTTCCCCTCCTTGCAAAGCCCACTTATCATTGTATTATAAGTCATCACATCAGGCTGCAAACCTCTTTGAATCATCAATTCTAACAATCCATTAGCTTCCTCCATCTTCCCCTCCCTGCAAAGCCCATTTATCATTGTACTAAACGTCACCACATCAGGCTGCAAGCCTCTTTGAATCATCAATTCTAACAATCCATTAGCTTCCTCCATCTTCCCCTCCCTGCAAAGCCCATTTATCATTGTACTAAACGTCACCACATCAGGTTGCAAGCCTCTTTGAATCATCAATTCTAACAATCCATTAGCTTCCTCCATCTTCCCCTCCCTGCAAAGCCCATTTATCATTGTATTAAACGTCAGCACATTAGGCTGCAAACCTTGATCCACCATCTTTTCGTGTATCCTAAGCGCAATACTCGTTTTCCCTGTTCGACATAAACCGTTAATCAAAGTCCCATACGTTATCACGTTAGGCCTAACCCCAAACACAGCCATTTTCATGAACAACTCCACAGCCTCCATACTCCTATTCTCTAAACACAAACCTTTAATCAAAGAAGTCAAAGTCACAGCATTTGGGTTAAAACCCCGCTTCAAAATCCTCCCAAAAACAACAAAACCATCACAAACTCGACCCACATTACAAAAGCAATTGATCAAAATATTCAAAGTATAAAGATCGGGCAACAACCCCATCGAACCCACTCGCTTGTAAAGCAAAATAACATCTTCATAAAACTTTTTCTTAGCCAGTGCTCCAAGCAACTGGTTGAAAGATGAAATTGATGGTTTTGGTTGCAAATGAATCATGTATTCAAAGAAATATCGTGCTTCATCAAGAGTGACATTACCTTCTTTACAATCATTTTGGAGGAATTTCTCAAGCTGGGTTACTTTAAGTACTAAATCTTGTGGTATGGTTGTAGTTACTTTACCTGGTTTTGTGAATGAAGAAGGAGAAGAAGAAAAACGACGAATCAAGCTTTTGAGCACCATTTCAGTAGCGCCGTTTGTGCCTTGTGGATTATCTGGGGTTCAAACAAACTTCAAACTGGCTTAGTCTTTTTAAGGTAGGGTTTCATCTTTCATCTTTCCTCTTTATATATTTTTTATCTTAATTAAAATTGAAAATAGGTCGGGGCTTAATAGAAAATTCAAAATGAGCGTCAGAGCTTAATTCCTCTCTTTTTCATTTGTTTAAATTGGGAGAACGGCCCGTTCCCACCCACGTTATGTTTTGTTAATGAAGTCAATTACCAAAATACCCCTCTTTAAATATGAAATTATTAACATACCCTTAACTATATATCAAATTTGTCCCTCCAATTTTTTATTAAAAATAATGTTTTAAATCAATGAAAATCCATTAGATTTTTTAAATTACTAGTTTATCCTTATAGTTGCTACAATTAAACTGACATTTATATTTAAATTTTGTCAATTCAAACCCAAATAAAATAATATATTAATAAGAAATTTTGTCAATTCAAACCCAATGAAAACAGGGAATTCAATACAAAGAAAACAACTTTTCCAGTTCCTCATTCATTTCTTAAAATCCAAGTTTTGCCGTCACCCTCCTACTTTCTAGCTCCTTCAATTTTGTTTTTCCTTTGCTTTTTGGATCTTCAAAACCTTCTTCACAATCTTTTGCTCTTCCACCAAGAAACTTTGAGTTTGATGTATTATTTTCAACCAAAGTTACCATCTTTAGTACCTCTGCAACTGCCTTAGGAGGGTAATCTCCATTTAATTTAGCATCAACGCATTGCTTCACCTTTCACTGAATTTTTGAGGTGCCTGAAACAATCCAGAACTGCATACAAAGCAACTTGATTGAGGCTTTCATCACACGCCAAATAAATGACTAGAAGCAATAAGCGAAATTCACCACCCACTTTCATCACATAACTTCAGCCAAAAACCACTATATGGAGTAGGTAAAATCTAATAAAGAATGTCATGAAAGATATGTTCAACGTCTATGATAGACAACCTCCTTGAACAAACCTCTATAACCCAAATGGGAATTCCAACTTTACATAACCAAAGCAACCATAAGAATTTTGTGACATAAAAAACAATATATTACTCAACAATTTACCTTCCTATGGCAATTTTGTTGGGCCGAAAATCATCACATTGTAAGTACTGCATATTATCCTTCGACGGTGAAGCACTTATCCCGAGAGCTGTATCCAAAAACAACAAAATCAACTCCATCGAAACCCAACCAAACAAACCTAAACGCACATAACTCAAAATAGGGAGAAAGAGAGCGTAACTTTGATGATTCATCGGAGGAGATTAATGTTAGCCATTGCTGAGATCTCGATTCAGTTGTTGCAGAGAAAAAATGCTAATAGGTTCTTTTTCTTACGACTTCTTTTCTAATAAACAGAGAGAGTCAAAGAATTTAATAAGCTGAAGAGAGTGCAACAAAGTCTTATGCAAGGCTCACATAAATTGACTATCTTGCCCTTCTTCAGAACAGATTTTCCTAATGAAACATACCGGTGGGTGAGAAAGTATCATTTTAAAACTTAATGGGTGGGAAAATGTTGTTCTCCCCTTTAAATTTTGTTAAAAGTACCCAACATGCACACGTATAAATAAGTTTTATAGTCAAGTGCGACAATATTTACTGACTTATCATGTCAGCTTCTGGTTGACTTTTGGACAGGAAATGAAGGAAACAACTTCAGACATTCACGATGACTAGATCTACCATTACGGAAAATGGGGTTACATCTGGCATCACATTTTTGTCTGTTATATGTGAAGCCTTATGCGACATCGTTTTGACTTAAGCCAAGACTTCATCCTGATCGTTGGTTTAAGGATAGATCTGATAGCTAAGGACTTAAGTTGGGTCAAACCTATAAAAGCAAAGGTCCTTTCAGTTCGCAAACGACATGTTTTCTCTCTGTTTGATACCTCTCAAAGTTACCATATTAGGGTTCAAGATTAGGGCTTTGTGTGTTTGTAAATCTACTGATAATCTGTCCATTGAGTCGTGTTTCTTAGTGGGGTGGGAACTTGGTGTAGAGTTCTTAGTACAGATTGTAGGTTTATCTTTGTTATTCTAAAGCCAATTTTGATCTTGATTGAAATCTTGTAAAGGGAAGAGAGTTTGAGGGTTGTAACCTTTCTTGATCGTAATAGTAAGTGCAGTGAGCATCCATATTCTAGAGCTCAATGTGGATGTAGCTTGTTCAATATTAAACAAGTGAACCACGGTAAATACTGTGTGTTGAATTTGTTTTGGTTTGTGTTGATTGTATGTTTTGGTTGATGTTTGCTTGATTTGAGTGAGGAGAAATTACAACAGTGGTATCAGAGCCAAAAGTTCTAAGGTGTATCTAGGTTTAGAAATCATTTAATTCTTGACGAATTCCAAAATTAGGGTTTGTCAGTTTTTGGGGTTTTTTCGATTTAAAGGTTCCTAGATCATTAAGACTTCGAATCTTGCTGAGTCTTGAGATTAATTCGTGAGATTAGGTCACAAACACAAGGGATCAATGAAATTCGTGCAAAATCAAAATTAAGGTTTTGTTAGGATTTGCGGTTTTTTTTTAATTAGGGTTTCGAATCGTCCTGACTCTGGTCGAATTGGTTAGTCTGAGTCACAAACACGAGTCAGGGGAAGAAATCTTGGTATTGCCTAGGGGCTGTAGTAGTATTGTTACTTTCGTCTTGTTTGATAAAGTTTAAGGGTATCTCAGCTGGAAAACCAGTAACCGCCTTAAAAACTGTCTGGCAGTACTTGGCAACCTTTGGTATAACAATGCCACGTACTCCTTAGACTGTCGTGCCCTGTCATTATAATACAATGAGCACTACTCGTATGGAGATCTCCCAATACGATGGGAAGATCGATTTTAATACATGGAAAAAGAAAATGAAGGCCTTGTTATCTCACAACAAGGTTGGAATCGCACTGGAGAAAGATGAGTCCAAATGGCTAGAAGAAAAGAAAAAGAAAAAGGAAGAAGTGGACGAAGAAGCATACAACTTGATCATTATGAACCTGTCAGACACCGTGCTGCGAAAGGTGGATGGTGTGGAATCTCCAATTCCACTCAGGGGTAAACTCGAGTCTATATATGCTCTTAAATCTGCTTCTAATTTAGCTTTCCTGAAAGGCGCTTTATTTTCATATAAAATGGACATAGCCAAATCCCTAGAAGACAATCTTGATGAATTCTTAAAAATGATCCTAACCCTAAAAGGTACTGAAGCCTTGCTATGATTCTGTTAAATTCCCTACCTGAAGAATACTTAGTGGTAAAGAATGCACTCCAGTATAGTGGGGCAATACCTAGTGTGGACCTGATTGTTTCTCGACTAAAATCTAGGGAATTAGAATTAAAGATCCAGAAGCGTAATGGTAGCAATCTGTTTGTGAAAGGGAAAGTTGAGGTTGGACAATCTAGTAAAGATACTGGAAAAAACCATCAGAGAAATGTAGGCTTTAAAAACAAGAAGAATAGTAAAGGAAATGGTAGAACTAAGGGGGAATCTAGGAAATGTTTATCCTGTAACAAGGTAGGACACCTAAAGAAAAACTGCTATGTTTGGATTAAAAAGAACAAACAGAACAGTACAGAAACAAACCTAGCCAGCTCTAGCAGTAACCTAGAAATATCAGAAGCCTTTACCATTTCTAATACATCTAAAGGCAATGAATGGGTGCTAGACTCAGGCTGTACCTTCCATATGAGCCCTAACAAAGACTGGTTTCAAAGACTTAAAACTGGGGAACAGGAAACTGTTTTTATGGGGAATAACCACTCCTGTGAGGTTCAAGGGATAGGGGATATAACCATTAAGCTGAATAATGGTAAGTTAGTATTACTAACTAGGGTCAGGTTTATACCTGAACTAAAACGTAACCTAATTTCCTTGGCAGGGGCGGACCCAGCCCCTTGGAGGGTAGGCCTACATCATATTAAAAGTTTCAAACTTTCTCCACTCTTTTCTACATCCATCTATTTTTTATGATTTTATCCCTAAAATTCTTTATTCTCTTATTCACTTTCTTTATGTTATTCGTGCTTAAAAATTTCAAAGATTGAAATTGTTGAAGCTTTCACTCATCAAGGTGCCACAATTAGCTTCGTTTTCTGTTTTCTCAATTTTAGCTATGTGTATTGCTCATTTCATTTTAGTTTATTTTAGAATTGAATCATACTTATTTTTTGGAGGTTTTTTTATTCTAATTTGATGGAAAAATGCATGGATCATGTGAGTTTGTTTTGTGTTTTGTGTTTAAGAATGTTCCTTCTTTCCCAAATTAAACCTTAACTATATTTTACTAAACATTATTCTTCACCCTTCACCCACCACTTTCCTACATTTCAAACGTCACCGTTTAGCTGTTCAAAATTATTAAAGAAGTTTGAGTTATTATCTATGTTTATACTAAGAAAATTTTCCCTTTTTTTATTAATTCATATTAAAAGACAAGGCAACGTTAACTTAATTTAAGTTTTGGTTGACTTTAACTTAGACTAAGCCTGATCAAAGTCATGAAAATTTATATTATAATATTTGAAAGCCACAAAAATAAATAAATAAATAAAAGCAAAAAAAAAAAGAGAAATAAGAAATTTGTGTAGAATATTTTTGGTGGATTGTGATTGTTATAAACTCTTTTAATTATATTAGATTTAAGTAGATCGTTAGATTCTCATCGCTTATTTAACAACGGCTATTTGAACAACGGGTCTTCATCCATGAGCTCCTACTACCACTAGCACCGGTTATTCCACATCACCTGGAAGGGAATCAGGTAAGGCAGATTCTAGAACAGCGGTTGATTCAATACTTTTCTTTCTGTGCTCGTGGCTATCTTTACTAGAATGAATGTGCAGTTCAGTTCTAAGCCTTAGGGCTAAAAGATTAGCAGCTGAGTCAATAGCAGCAGTTAGTAATTAGATTTCAAACAGAACACTAGATACGAAAACAATAAGAATTCATACCCTAACTACCAG